TGTTGCGGCCTGGCCTCACAGCCCACTGGGGGTGGGGTAGGAATGGGAGCAGCCAAGATAGCAGCCACCCCTCCCTGCCCCCTACAGCTGATTAGCTTAAAGAACTTCCCGTTACATGGCCTCACCCCGCTCCACCAATCAGCGGCAAGGGGTGGGACCACACAACAGGCAGCCCTCTTGGCCAATCCATGGCAAAGGGGCGAGCTCCTTGCAAAAAGGCTGCAAAATCAACTCCATTCACCACAATTTAGGTAGATCCCTAAACATTACGTATTGTGTTCTACCCTAATTACAACAGTATAAATCTGACACAACCCAGATTGCAACTCAGCATGATTTGGCTCAATGTACATTGAATAGTACATGAAAAAGGATTTAGCTGACATTTTAATAGTTGAGAGTGGACAGACATCAAGTCCTTAATTATTTCAAGACCATACTAACGTGATTAAGCAATGCAAAATGAAGCAGTGATTAGGACCACAGCAAAGGTAATTTATAAATACTATGCATGGTCACTTAAGTTAGATACAATATTTCAGAAACATCTGAAACTCCCAAACTAGTACAATGCCAGCAACATTAAAAATACCTTCTTTATTGAGTGCCTACATTTGTAGCTGTGCATTCCCAGAGGTGTACCCAAGAATGAAAGGCTTATTAAAATGAAGCCTTCTTTTTCAGATTGCCAAAAATAGCAACTAGAAAATTTAAATATTAGCAATTCTGAGTGACAAATTCACATTTATATCAATTTCTTAGTCATAATCCTTAGTTTCGACATTAAAAATTGTAACTTTACCTGATACTAGAAAACAATTTAGACTTTCCTTACAAATTCAACATTGCAAATTTACAGCAAGAAGCCAAGAGGAAACAGTGCACGAACCCCCAAGAGGAGCAACAATACTAAACACACTGTGTTTTAGTTTATAGGAATAAGGGGTCTCTCTTCTCTCTTTTTCCAAATGTTATTTTTGCTCTCTCTTTTAGCCATATGTGGCCTACCCCTTTTTTTACCTGGAGGAGTACTGGACTCATGACTTTCTGCTTTATTTTTTCTTCTTATTGGTTCTTCAATTTGCTGTTCTGTAACTGATCCACTTCCTCCTTCCAGCATGTGTCTCATAGATTGATCTTCAGGGGTACAAACAGTGGTCCCACTTTCACTGCTACTCAGATCCAAATCTTCCAAATAAAGGATCTTAGAATGAGGCATGCTTTTAATGAAAGTTTTCTCCCTCTCTAGTTTTCGACTGGGATGATGTTCATTCATGTCAACTCCTGAGTCCAGACTAGTGTCATTGCTATCTGTTTTTCTGCCCTTCTTCAGATCTATAAAAGAGTGCCTTACTTGAGCAATTGGCTTTCCATCTAGTGACACAAACCATGCTCTGGGGTGTGGGGATGGTTTTCCTTTGGAAAGCTCCAGTAATGTTTGTTCTGAAATACCTTGAAGCTCAGATGAAAATGGGGTCATTACAACTGCTTCATTCAGTGTCCCAGGAACAGAGACAGATTCCAGCAAATTGTTGGTGTACCGATCCCAATTTGAATTTTGGGAAGGTAAACCTTGTTGACCATCTAGTATGTCTTTCTCATCTCTGCAGGTTGGGGGCTGTGGATGAACATGCATTGGCATCTTGGGTAATGTCTGTGTATAACTGTCACGATTCATGGGTTCCATCACAGGGCTGTAGACTAACTGACCCTTTCTTGGCAAAGTAGCTGACTTAGCAGCATGTAACTGCTCAGGAGAGTGGAAAAGGTCAGAAGTTTGAAGGATGGCAATAGGCTGACTGTATATATGCATTAGTTGTTCTGGAATATGGGAAAGCCCAAACATCTCTTCTTTTACTGCAAGATATAGGTTTTGGTCTTGAACATCCCTTGGAGACTGGGAAACACTACTGTTGATATGCTTTGGCTGCTGCATGCGTCTAACTCCAGCACTAGGATCCAAGGACTGGGATGAATTCCTTGAATGACTACTCTGATTTGATGACTGATATGAGGCATCTTCTGTATAAATTTTAAAACTGCCCCGGGATTTTTTGTCCTCTCTTTCTATAGAAGTCTTTCTTTGAGGGCTATAAGATAAAACCTTAGGTGAGTATAACTGTGATTTATCCCCTACCCTTAATGACCCCTTGACAGCACTGATGTGATTTATGTGAGTTGTTGATGTTGTCTGGTCCTTTTTTAACACTTCCAGTTTAGTTGTATTTTTTTCCTTCTTTTGTGACTGACCACATTTATCCCTATGCAAAAGGAAATAGAAGATAATTGTAGAGGACATGTTAGAAAAATGCAAGTGATGAATGCAGCAACCGCACTGAACACTGACATTAGACTCAACAGTATGCACTACTGAAAGCAAATAGTTGCAAACAAAACTGTTCCAAAACTACTGCAGTAATTTATATGCACAATTAATTAATGTGCAATGTTATATTAATATAGTGATAATTTTAAGACGCGAGGTGTATGAAATATTTTATAACACCTAGGCATATTGCTGGGGGAAAAATAATATTTTGACTCAAAAGGGGCTGTTCGTTAACTTCAAATCCCATTTACACAGAGGCTACTATAGATTTTCTTTTTTCCTTACCTGCAGTAACAAAGAAGGACAGCGAAGAATCCAATAATAATGACAACAGTACCTCCCAATATAGCTGTTAGGAACACTGTATGATAGGCTGTTATATCCTTGGAAACTGCACTAATAATTGAATCTAGGTTTTTTTTAAAACACAGAAACAGACAAAAATTAGATGCCAAAAACTAATTATTCTGGTTATTGTGCAGAAATGCAGTAGATAGATTACACTATAGTTTCCTAGCCATCTTAACACTGTCCATTTCAGCAACTTTGGAATATAATAATAATAACAATAATAACAACAACAATAATAGTAATAATAATAATAATATAAAATATATAATATAATCAGACTTCAGGGGCTGATGTCTCAAAACACCAAAATATTGCCTTTACATTCGTTTAATTCTAGTCAAATGGTGTTTGTAGCATACCTCTAAATTTGTTTCAAAATACTAATCCCTGGAGTTTCAAGTTTAAACCTCCTGTTCCATTACATTACTTTATTTTTACATTCTGAAATCTCATTCTCTCATTCAAAAATTTCACCATATTCATTTTCATTTCTGGAATAAGCATAATTGTAGCGTGTAGGCTGTATGTTTCTATACAGGCAGTATCTATTTGGGCCACTCAACCCTACCACCCCCACCCCCCGCACTGATCCCCCAGTGCATTTCTCCTTTGTGTTCCTGGGTGCAAAAATAGGCATATGGTACCAGATGCTCCTCTGTTCTTTATGTTCACATTTCTCTTTTTGATAAAACCCAGAAAGTGATAGTACTGTATAGCTTGGCCCTTTCCCCATCAAAAGACAGCTGAGAATTGAAAAGATGAAGACGACTGCCTCCTTTGACCCAGAGGAGTATTTTTTCTACACTGTTCAGAAGGTTTCAATCAGAATAATATTTCCTCTTTTTCAAAAAATGCTTTGGTTGTGTTCCTGTCACACACATGAAAACAAATGTCAAATAATTTTCCCAGTCGTTTAATCCTCCCCTTCCCTTTTTCCCCAAAAGACTAATAGTTTCAATGTAATACTGGAGTTAACCATTCTAGGAAACAGGTATGAAAAATATAGATAAAACACCTTCAGCTTCTGGCCTGTATCTTTCTTTTAAAAAAAAAAAATTATGAACAAGTTTTCTAATACACCTGTATTAAGACTAGTATTATTTAGATTATTTGGTCATTTTAGTTTTCTATTGATATGCAATACCTGTAGTTCCAGGCAGTGGAGCTGCTATCCAATACCCTAAGTGTGGAGCAACATACTTCCATACTAAATGGTCATTTGCTTCCTTTATCATTCCCAGCCCACGATTTACCCAGGCACCTGAAAAAGGAGGCAAGCTAATAAGCATTTTAGGGGACATGGCTTGTTTCACACAATCTCCTACAAACAGAAAAGGATTATGAAAAAGAAAACATTGAAAAATATATACTGTCAGAAAGAAATAAAGAAAATGAAATTGTTGTGGTACTTTCACATACAACAGGGCTTGATGTAATTCATGAGCTTGTAAAACAATAAATAAATAAACCAAAACAAAAAAAAACAACTCCTCCTCCCCCACAAAAAACTAACTCTTTCTCCTTGAATTGATTTGTATATTTCAGTGAAAGCCTGTGTGTAATTGTTTACTTTGAAATAAAATTCAATTTTTTTTAATGATTTCACTTAAATTGACTAGCTATTACACCAAAATAGAAATTAAAAACAAAGTAGATTTCCACCAAAACAAACCATTTTTAGTTCATATTCTCTTATTTTAGGTCTTATTTATGTAAAGACTAGTTGCAATTTTGTTAAAAGCTATTCATTTACACACAATGAACAGAGTCCAACATTAGGCTTTACCACATAGTGGACAAGCCATAATAATCCACTAGCCTACAAAAGAATGAAAAAGCCTGTTTTTTCTATTTAAATTATCCAAAGCTGAAACAGCTCAATTAGTCCAAGGCAGGATTACTGTTAGACCAGAGATCTCACCACCATCTGTTTTGGAGTATAAAGGACAAGCTTTGTGATCTGCCATTGTCCGGCAACGTATGCTCACATATGTGTGTGCAGCAGATGAGACAAAAAGAAACGTACTTAATACTTGGTTAAGTAATAAATATACCCATGCCTGAAATTCTAAGAGTGGAAAACAACCTGTTTTACAAACCAGAACATGCTGAGGGGAACAGTAGAGGAGATGCACAACAAATCTCACTTAGAATACCAGGAATTTTGTAAAGTGGGTTCTGAAGAAAACAAAATGGTCATAACTTATATATTAACCTTAAGTACAGAGGGTTTACATTTTGTTTTAGATATTCTTTTATGAAAAAACAATTCAATTCCAATGATGTTTAGCTTTGCAAAAGTTCTAGCTCAAGTGAAATAAAACATCTGAAATGGGTAACTATTCACAGAAGTTAACATGTTTTATTTTTCTTCTCCACTCTGCTCCACAGAAAACAGCACATACTAAGAAAAATACAGGGACAAATATTATTTTTATATAAAGGAGCATACTTTAATGCACTTTAACAGAAAAAAAAATGTTTAATTAAAGGTGTGTCTCAGAAATAAACCAGTTAGACTCAGGAAACCCAAGAAAAAGGGCTACATAATGCTTTAGAGAGTTCTGCCTGTCCCTGGTTCATTTGAATCACACCCTGGGATGGCATAGACCAGTAGGAGCAACCTTTTTGGCACGTGTGCCACAAATCAAGCACCGCACCTTCTGAGTGCTACCCCAATCCCTCTTCCTTTGTGTGAACTGCCACTACTTTCTACTCCATGACCAATTTACTGCTCTGCTTTCCCCCCTACCGTGTGCTCTGTCTGATCTGCTGCTCTGCTATCTGCCCCCTGTCCCATCTGCCACTGTACTACCTGGTCCCTTCCAGATATGCTGCATGCCACGCAGAGGCTGCCAGTGCCACCTGAGAGACATGCCACAGGTTGGTCATTCCTGGTGTGGACTACTGATCTGTTTCAGTATAGTTGTTACTATAAATATTTTACATGGAGATACTGTATATTACATTTTAGAAAAAACAATGGTTCTGCCTAAAATCTTCTATTTTCATAAAGAATGATACTTTAAATCATCTTAAGTTATGTCACATCCAGTGCTGTCACTTTATTTCAAGCAACTCTTACAGACATGACTTGGAACACAATATATTCAAACAACCTTAATTTGTTCAAACCTCAACTTTTTGTTCAAGCCCATAGCATGCATTACATTTATACTGTTACAATATCTAATGTCCAAATATAATATTACTGTGAAAATGAAGGTGATCCACATGATTCTTAATACTTGTAACATTCACATCAGTGCTTTTGTTTGAATCAGTTAAAGCAGTTATGTTCCCGGGTGGGAAGGAGGGGGGACCTCCCTCTAAGTTTAAGATGCATGTTTAAAATTGAGAACTTCTTCCCAAAATATATGTCACCCAACTAAGAAAAAAAATAATGCTGGATATTATACTGTAAAACATAGATATACCCTATGTCATTCTAATACTAAATATAGTATAGCATTAAAGCTGTATACTGAAGGATTTATCAAACATACCAGTTTTCAGGTCAAATGTCCATGCAGGTATAGCATCTCCTGATTTTACATTATTTGTAGGTAGAAGAGGCAATGTAATATGAATGGGACCATTAACTTTCAATTCTTTTCCAGCAGAAAGGAGGCTTACACATATTGCAGCAAGAGGGGTCAATTCAATACTTTTAAAACCTAAAACATATGGAATAACTTTCTATAACTATACATACTGGCATGTATTTATAAAAAATATATAATTTACTGAAAAAAATGCAAACCATCAAAGAATATTTGGATCCACATCACAAGATGTCAATATAGCTTGAGAAAAAAAAAACTCAAGCATTTCTTCGGTTACCTTTTATTGAGAGTACTGTTCTGTAGTTATACCTATTCAAAAAATTTAAAAACAAAATATATATTTACAATAAAAGTGGTTGAACAGTGCTGGCAGAACACAACTTGGCAAATTCTGGCTGTTTAGAGGCTTTTAATTACAGGCTTCAGAAGCCTCATTCTACCTTAAATAGTATACACCTGTTCAGAAAAAAAAAAGTTCTAAATGTATGGACAGGTATAAATATAAATGATAATCAAAATGAAACTCCCGTATTAAGTGATACATTTGCAGAGTTCTCAGTAGTCAAGCAGGTTTAGTAATAAAACTTTACTAAAAGGTTTCATTTGTTATTTGGATGTTCCTTTGTAGAGTTGACTGTGGGGTACAGTACTCAAGGCTTGTCAAAATACTCAAAGCAACCTTCCGCTTTATGGGGTAGGCTGCAAGCGTGCTCCCTTTTTCCTTATACTAACGCAACAACAGACACCATATGATGCAAAAGCTTCAGAATCTAGCGTGACAGGTTTTTGAAGACTGAAACAGAATTATTAAATATCAGAACGATATTAGTGCTTTGCACATGGTTAGAAGCTGATTGTGAGAGAACCACCAGATCTCAATTATCTCCTACCTGCCTTAGGATACAAACTATTTCTCTGGGATCCTATGAATAATTTAAGAATACATCAAAGAATTAAAGAAAAGTTTGATGGTGAGGAACACTGTTTATCATCTGAGGCTTCAAATTCAAAACGTGCATTATAAACAACCTGTTTTTTTTGGCATCCTCAAAAATCTACATAAAACTACATCTAAATAAATAGGGTACTGGTATTTGTGAATATTTTGATTAACTGCAGATTAAACAAACCAGAGTATGACACACAAATGAGCTAGCTAGAAACTATATCACTAATATCATCCCCTGCAAATCAATGAAACCATAGAACTGCATTGAATTTGAGTGCGTCACTGTGTATTGGAAAAGAAGTGAAATGGGTGATGAAATACTAGTTGTCTGGGACAGCTTAGTCTATCCTGCCTTGAACAAGAGGTTGAACTCTTGTGGTCCTTTCCAGCCCTATTTTCCTCTGTTGGTTCCAATGTGATCTTCTGGATAGCAACATAACTAGGTGGATTAGGACATAATAGTAAATAAGTATTGATTCTGCCTGTGCCTTATTTAAGAATGCTTTAAAAAGGTGTAATATTTAAAAGTAATTTTTACCAACTCATGGAATCTCTACCCTGAAAGGATATTTTATACTTAGTTTAATAGACATGTGTGGACAATATTATTACATTTGTTCTTTGTATATTTAGAGTGCCTAGTTGGTGTCACTATGCTTAAACAGGCTTACATGGATTAACTGTAACTAAATCAATAATACTACAACATGGATTAAGTATTTGAGATAGATTAGTTTCCCTGTTATTTTTATGCTGGGTGACATGGTTCCAAACCCAGATAGGTAAAAGTTACAGCCGAAATGAATCAGCTGAGGATCTGCCCATAAATTGCTGAAATTCCAGTGACTTCAAGAGTGACTGCAATTTATACCACATCAGATTCAGGCACAGTAAGGTATTTTGTAATGTGCAGAACACACAGAACATAGCAAACACCTTCAAATTCCACTTCAATGAATGGGAGTTTCACGTGTGCTAACACTGTAGTTTAAGGCCTTGCCACAATACAGTAAGTGTTATAATCCTATAAGGGAAACTAGTCTGTATGGAAAATAGTGTATTTGTCTCTGCAGGAGGTAAGAGTAGTAGCATATTATGTTCTTTTGGTAGATATGTAGGTAGGTGCAGAAGGCCATGAGTTACTCCTCTGTAGTATAATACAGTAAAAGCTGTGTTATCTGGCACTTTACAAGCTGGCATGCTCTATTAACTGGCATGCTGGCTTGTAAAGTAAAAGTGAAACTGGAAGTGCCCACTGTGGCACTTCTGGTTTGCTGAGCCCCCACATCCCAGGGCAGAGCAGCCTGTGCTGCCGAGCCCCCACAATGACAATTCTTTCCCCCTTTCTTTTCTGCCCCCCTCCCTGTCCCTCTCAGCGGGAGGGGCGACGACGCACCAGACGCAGCGGCCTCTCAGGTAACAGGCATATTTTATTATTCGGCACTCCCGATTCCCCATGGGTGCCAGATAAAGTTTTGCTGTATTTATAATCCCAATTCCAGATCCTATGACACTCAGAAAAAAGTCAACTAAATTCATTGGGAGTTCTTTCAGGCCTTCATTATTAAAGAATGAATCTTGCATAGCATATATACACATTTTTTATATAAATACATACATACATGCATACACACACACAGCACAAACTTAGATGCAACAAAGGTAATATACCTGATTTATTTAGAAGGATCCCTGTTGTGTAGAGAAAATTGTCCACTTTCAAAAACTGCTGTGGCACTGTCAGATAGGCTGTCACATTTGTAATATGGTGGTTTATTGGAAGTTTTATTAAATATTTGGGAAACTGAACACTTGGTTGAGATTTGGCATCTGTGAAGAAAAACATTTTTAATTAGCAAGGTTTCAAACAGAGCTAACACTTTTCACTGTGACAATCTAGAAATTCATTCAGCATAAAACCTACTGCATCCCACTTCTCTGCGCTTGTTATTATCTAGTTCTAATCCACCACCTGCCACTATCACACATACCATGATGTTATCAGAAAGCTGAGCTCTTCTTCCCTTTCCCACCCTCACTCTTAAGTCCCAACTCTAGCATACCTTCTCCAGACAATGTATATGTAAAGAATCTGGCCCCGAGTGTAATAAGTAACATGCATATTTCACTTTACTAGAGATGAACAGTACTCAGGAGGCCAACTGCATTAGTAACTCTGCTGGCCATGATCTTGAGGTTTGTAGTTTTTCACACAAACTGTTTACATCCTAGTTGGCATAATGGACTACTTACCGGACAGTTTTCCAGTAATTAAAACAGTATCTTCAAACAGCCATATATTAGCTTGGCTTTGTGGAAACAATGAAAGTGTCACAGATGAGTATACTGGGGAAAATAGCACATTAAGAAAACTTGGTTAAGACTAGAAATGTTGCAGAAAAAAGTTCAGATAAAACATACAATTTTGAACAATGATGAACCAGTTATCAAGAAGGATGATGTCAAAGAAAACAGATGGAGCAAGTGGCCCCTTCTAGTTTATGGCTGAATAGTACAGGCTGAGCAGTGAAGATTACACTACATGGCTCATGCTGTACATAGTCTGTAGATAAATACACGTGATTTAAGTTCCTGGACAGTCTATTTCTCTCTCTCTAAGAAAAAGACACTTTAACCATCTCATAAGAGAACTATATTGGCAAACAAAAAATGCAACACTTAAAAACAGGCCACACATGAAGATGTACTACGGATGAGAATCAGGGGTGGATCCAACGGTGGTGCTGTGGCATGGCCACCTGCCTCCTTCCTGATCATGCCACAGCAGCTGCAGATAGGGACTTAAGTCCTGAAATTAAAAATACCCCACCCTCCCTTCCTCTGCATGATCAAAGGCACAACCTTGCCTCAACTCTTCCCTCCCCATTCCCTTCTTCCCAGTCTGCCGCTGCCGCCAGTGTCCTCGCTGTTCTGGGGATGAGAGGAGCTCCTGCCCACTCCAGCTGTACTGCATGGGGGCTGGGCTGAGCCTAGGTGTAGCAATGGATGGGTGAGCACCCTGCCCTCCTCCCCGCAACTCTGCCTGCTCCTCCCGGGTGTTCTTCAGAAGCCTGGGGACAGGCATAGAGAGAAGGAATGTATCTGTCCACCACTGCTGCTACTGCGATGGTCCTGCGTGACTTCAGCTCCCAAACTGCCGAGCTGGAGTGGAACAGAGCTCCCCTTGCCACCAGGATATTGTGGAGCTCAGAAGCAGTAGGCTGGGGTCAGGGAGAAGAGGGAGAAAAAGGAGGGAAGGGGATGTGCCTCTGAGCAGAGAGAAGAAGGGAAGCTATGGAATTCTTACCTTCTTTGGGACTTAAGTCCCCAGCTGCTGCTCCTGTGGTGTGGTCTGCCTGCCCTGGTTTGAGAGGAAAGGGGTAAAGGAAGCTGGGAGATGGGGGTGCAGCACCAGCTGCTGCAACTGCACCCCCCATGTGTAAAATCCTAGATATATTTCTGACTAGGATGGTGGAGGGAAGGAATCAGAGTTGCACAGAGGCAAAGCAACATTCTTGCCTCTAGGTACTATATGATTTTAAGAACTTTGAAATACATAGCTGACCCTTCGCTCACTCTCCAACGAACAACACAAATGTGCTCACAAACACATTCCTTCTTAGAATATACTGCCATCCCACTGCAATAATCTTTTTCTTGCTGGATTTTCAACAGCTAATAGAATTTCAGTTCTAAAAATCCACATGATAAATTTGTCAAACTTGAAGCGTCACTTACTCTTATACCTGTATTCACTTGTAACTTTGGTTCACTTGACTCAATCATGTTCAGTTGGTGACAATTAAATGGATCATCCAAGGAAGGAAAACGTTTTAATTGTATATAAATTCAGTGGAATAACAATATTTTAAGAGACTTACTTGGCATTCTCCCAGTCTTCCATGGTAAGGGTGTTAACATGTAGCCATCTTTGTATGACACAATAGTTAAGCTTAGTCCCAACCTGTAGGGAACTTTTATTAATACTGCTCCATTGTTTCCCGTGAGCGTGGAATTTGTCTTTGTGTAGTTAACAAACACTTCTACAGTTGCCTGGCGTAGGTATTGATGACTGACAAAGTCATTTACTTGAACTTTCAGTATAAACGCAGATCCTGTGATAGGGAAAAAGGCAACAGGTCATAAGCCCTAATAACTAAGCATATTTACCTAAACGTCATCATTTGTCTTATATTTACCATACTCTGTGATGAACTGACTGTACATTTTGATAAAGTTTTTTCTCACGTGCCAAATCTTAGCTCTCAGAATGCATTTGTTCAACCAAAACAGTTGTTGCAGTTGTTCAGCACTACCCAAAGTGCAAGTGATGCTGATGGAACACAATGGACACTTTTTGTAGAGTACAATTTTTTATTCCTCTGTTCTCATTACAAAGCTTACTTTGTAAGATGTGATATAATGCCCTGGAACTGTAAGCTACCAAGATTGAGAGGAAAAATATTAATATGGGAGCGCATTGCATCACTGTAATTTAGTGAAATAAACTCACGAGCAACAAATGCTGCCACTCCAACAAAATCTATCTATAACAGTAATAGAACATTCCTGTATCTTTTACGATAAAGCCTCCCATGACAGTGGTTTATCCTTTTCCAATACCAATACAATATAAGACTACAACGCAAAAGTTTTGTCATCTTAGCTATATTGGCAAAGCCCCTTTATGGTGAAACAGATTGTCTGGATAAATTGCAGACAATCTGGATATTTAGGGATTTGTTGATATAGCTATAAAAGTTAGGTATGTGAAGAAAAATGATTAAACTCTGCTGACAAAACTTTGTAGCATAGACCTAACCCAAAGTAAATGATTTATCCTACAGAGGATTCTGGAGTGGCCAAAATAACTTAGGAATATTAAATGTCAACCAGGACATTGGGTGGTCATTCTACACATTCTTGATTGAATAAAGCAGGCGGTGGACACAAATAAGCAAACAGGACAGTGGCTGCTTATAAGGCTCCCAGGTAGGTCCCCTTAAGGTAGGAGCTAAAGGAAAATGCCAAGTCTTTACCGGGAGGATTCTATTTTCTTGGCTCTAGTCAAGTTACAGACAATGCTGAGAACCCATAGATAAAAAAAGGACCAAAAACAGGTAAGAGAGGAGGCAGTTGTTTGAGAACAGTGTGTGGAACATTCTGACACATACAGATTCTACTAAATGGTGTGAAACAGTCACATGCATTTCAAGCACAGGTAGGAGTATAAGACTTAGGTCAGAGAAAAGTTATGCAGATTTTTTGTTGATTAAATACTCTTACTTTATGATTTACTCCTATGGTTTAATTGGCAAAACTCTTAATTTAAAAAGGCTGTTTGGGGGTTAGTAGAACCCACTGGTGACAAATCTGCCAAGAGGAAGAACCGTAGGTAGGCTAAGCCAGTTGGAACTCTTAAACTAAGCATGTTTGATCTATATGATACCATAGGATCTGTTTTGAATGAAGGAATCTTGAGATTCTACCCAAAGACAGATGAGGATCTGACGCCTTGAGGTGGTAACACACTGATGCCGGGGTGAAGGGGTGTAGTTAAATCTATAACCATAGCACCATAGTCATTTAAAACAAACTATTTTCTTCTTGAGAATGAGTCTAGAAATATAAAGAAAGGTGGTTTCTGTTACTAGTTCTGCTAAATAATCCAGAGTCAGGAAACTATTCTACATCATCACCAGAGTTCATGCTGCGTCTTTCAGTCCTTCACCGTAATAAAAACATTCTTCCTGAATAAAAGCATTCACATCAACATCTCATCCCAGGAGAAACATCCCATCTCTTAAAAACTGACAATCCCACTGCACACCTGTTTTCCAGCTTAGATTCCACAGACATTCAGGCTGGAAGGGACCTCAGAAGATCGAGTCCAGCCCCCTGCCCCAGGGGCAGGAAGTCAGCTGGGGTAACAGGATCCCAGCAAGATAAACATCCAATTTTCTCTTGAAGGTGTTCAAAGTAGGTGCTTGAAGCACCTCTGATGGCAGACTATTCCAGACCTTGGGGGCTCGGACAGTAAAGAAATTCTTCCTTATGTCCAGCCTGAAACGGTCTTGCAGAAGTTTATAACCATTCGACCTCGTCATCCCTTGGGGTGCTCTGGTGAACAAACGTTCCCCCAGATCCTGGTGAACACCCCGATAAACTTATAGGTGGCCATCAGATCACCCCTGAGCCTGCGCTTTTCCAGGCTAAAGAGCCCATGGCTCTCAGCCTCTTGTCATAAGGTCTGTTTTTCTGACCTCTGATCATGCACATGGCTCTTCTCTGCACTCTCTCAAGCTTCTCCACATCCTTTTTGAATTGTGGAGCCCAAAACTGGATACAGTACTCCAGCTGCAGCCTCACCAAGGCCAAGTACAGTGGGAGAAAGACATTCTGGGATTTGCTTGAGAAGCATCTATGGATGCAAGCCAGTGTTTTGGTCGCTTTACTAGCTGCAACATCACATTGAAAGCTCGTGTTCATCTTGTGGTCAATCATGACCCCCAAGTCCCTTTCATCCATAGTGCTAGCCAGCGTAGCACTGCTGAGCTTATAAGGATGCTGCAGGTTTTTCCTCCCAAGGTGGAGAACCTAGCATTTTTTGGTGTTAAACACTATCAGGTTTTCATCTGCCCATTTCCAGAGCCTGTCAAGGTCAGCCTGGATCACCCTCCTGTCCTCAGGTTTGGTATCATCGGCGAATTTGGTCAGTCCACTTCCGACTCCAATGTCCACATCATTAATGAAGATGTTGAACAGTATGGGTCCAAGGACAGAGCCTTGGGGGACCCCACTGGTCATAGGGCACCATGACGATTGACTTGCATCAACCACCACCCTCTGGGTCCAACCATGGAGCCAATTCCCCAGCCAGTGGATCATGGTGAGGTCAAGCCTGCAGTTAGCCAGTTTTGCCAAGAGGTGATCATGGGATACCAGATCGAAGGCTTTTTTTAAAGTCAAGATACAGGACATCAATCTCCTCTCCCTTGTCTAGGTGATAGGTCACCTGGTCGTAAAAGGAAATGAGATTGGTCAAGCAAGACCTACCTGCAACAAACCTGTGCTGGCTATCCCTCAGGTTGTTGCCATTGGCCAGTCCGTTAAGAATGGCCTCTGATGATTTTTTCTAAGACCTTCCCCAAGATAGAGGTCAGGCTGATGGGCCTGTAATTTGCCAGATCCACTTTCCTCCCTTTTTTGAAGATAGGCACCACATTGGCCTTCTTCCAATCTTCAGGCACTTCACCAGAGCGCCAGGAGTTATCGAAGATCCGTGCCAGCGGCTGAGCTATGATGCTAGCCAGCTCCTTGAGTACCTTGGGGTGTAAACCGTCAGGGCCGGCTGACTTGAAGGTGTCTGGCCTCTCAAGATGTTCCTTCACAAAGTTAGCATTCATGGAGGGCAAGGAATCTCCCTCACCTGGGCTTCCCTGTCCCATAATGGGTAAGCGTGTCCTGTGGGATTGATGAAAGACGGACACAAAGTACCCATTTAGTAGGTTGGCTTTTTCCCAGGCGTTGGTTGCCAGTTGTCCCTTCTGGTTTAACAGGGGTCCAGTGTTGCCCTTGCTTTTCCTCCGGCTCCCCATATATCTAAAAAAGGACTTCTTATCCTTGATAATAAAAAGCTAGTAGCTAGTTGGAGTTCAGTTGCAGCCTTGGCTTTCCTTGTTTGCTCCCTGCAGGTCCAGACCATTCCGGAATATTCCTCCTTGGAGGTGGATCCCGTCCTCCATCCTTTGTAATACTTTCTTTTTAGCCACAGGAGGTCCACTAGTTCCCTGGAGAGCCAAGGGGACTGCTGTGCCCTTTTTCTGCTTTTCCTCCGAGATGGAATAGCATTAGCTTGTGCATCTTTTTTATGACCAGGTTACAAAACACCTGGACGCAGGAGTAGGGGTTGATGTCGTTTACTTAGACTTCAGGAAGGCCTTCAATATGGTATCCCACACCATACTGGTGAACAAGTTAAGAGGCTGTGACTTGGATGACTACACAGTCCGGTGGGTGGCGAATTGGCTAGAGGATCGTACCCAGAGAGTCGTAGTGGATAGGTCAGTATCGACCTGAAAGGGTGTAGGCAGTGGGGTCCCGCAGGGCTCGGTCCTTGGACCAATACTCTTCAATGTCTTCATCAGCGACTTGGACGAGGGAGTGAAGTGTATTCTGTCCAAGTTTGCGGATGACACAAAACTGTGGGGAGAAGTGGACACGCCGGAGGGCAGGGAACAACTACAAGCAGACCTGGACAGGTTGGACATATGGGCAGAAAACAACAGAATACAGTTCAACAAGGAGAAATGCAAAGTGCTGCACCTAGGGAAGAAAAATGTCCAGCATACCTACTGCCTAGGGAATGACCTGCTTGGAGGCACAGAAGCGGAAAGGGATCTTGGAGTCCTAGTGGACTCCAAGATGAACATGAGTCGTCAGTATGACGAAGTCATCAGAAAAGCTAATGGCACTAATGCTAATTAGTGCTAATGGCACTAATGTTTCTTATCGTGCATCAGCAGATGCATGACGAACAGAACCAAGGAGGTGATAATTCCCCTCTATTGGGCGCTGGTCAGACCACAGTTGGAATACTGCATGCAATTTTGGGCACCGCACTTCAAGAGGGATGTGGATAACCTAGAGAGGGTCCAGAGAAGGGCCACTCGTATGGTTAAGGGCTTGCAGGCCAGGCCCTACGAGGAGAGACTAGGGCACCTGGACCTCTTCAGCCTCCGCA